GGAAAATCAACCAAGACAATCTTTCTAGCCCTGACCTGTTTGGAGATGAATGTGGGATCACGGTCCTCTCTCGCAACAGATATGTTGCAGTCATGCAGGAAGTGGAGAGCTTCGTTCAGTTCTGCCTGTAGTCGGGAGGAGAGGCCGCTCTTATCCATGTAGGGGCCGCAGTCCAGCACCACTTCTCTTGGCTGAGAGGCGTATCTGAAATAATACACAGTACGCAGGTTACACTAGAAGTCTTTGTTACTGCTTTGTCAGTCTGTTGAGTTTTACATACTATTTTTTCAGCATCTGTCTAAATGAAGTGTAATCAGTGAAATGACTTGCTTCAATGTTTAGTTGTAACTAACACAATTCTGGACATATTTAGCCAGAGAGTAGTTATTCAGCCCTGGCTGGTATAGGTCATATATAAGGGCTTGTAGTACCTGTCCAGGACCACAAGGTCAGTGGCAGTTTCAGCGTTGCTCTTCAGGATTCTCTCCAGATTCTGGATCTTCTGCTCCAGTTCTGACGGGTCACACTTCCCATTCAGAATGGAAGCTGTGAGACCCAGGATACGAGGACTGCATGAGCAGCCCTCAAACAGCTGCACAGACAGACAGGAGAGCCAGGTCATTCACAGTTCCCTTCGATGACAAACATGTGAAAAAATACATGAATGGTTCTTTGCAACCACAATCTCACCTTCATTATCTCACAGTAGGGGTGGTCCGTGATGGCCAGGTGACAATCATCAAAAACCACCAGGTTGATTTTAGACAACTGTAAGATTCTATTCCTCAGAATGTGCAGGAAAATGTGGCAAGTCATGACCAGCACCTGCGTGAGAGAAAGCGGAGAACGACAGGAGGGAGGAGAATATTATTGTAAACGGTGACCACAGTGTGTCTCAGTCCACCTATGACACTTAATAAAGGTGCAAATAACTGGAGCTGCCTGCTGTCAACTATTTGAATCATCAGTCCTGAGTCAAATCTCTCACTGTCAGTCAGCGTGTTGTGTTTTGTTTGATGATTCACTGTCAGTAAAACAACACAAGATAACAATGCAACATGGTTTTACAAGCTAGCCTTGTCTCAAATTAACATATAAAGTAACTGTAACGGAAATAACTAGAGCAGTGATGGAAAATGTGCAGAATGGAGTTCAACCCAACTGTGCAGTGCTCTGTAACCATAGAGCCTTTTAGCCTTTGATTGCTTGCTTTTGTTTGGGCCCTTTAGATTCCTGCAAATGCCATTAGGAGCACTAGGAGGAGCCAGAGGAACCTGATGTTTTTACGGAAATAAAAGTTACCTACTGCAGCTTTAACAATGTATTTTTTTTACATTACAAATCCTAGTTCGCTGTAAAGACCTGTACTGTACACCTTTATTACAGGACCACCTAGTTCTATTCTTAAACCTGACAAAACTCTGTGAGACAGTCGCAACCTGTTAGCATGGAAGTAGAGTGAAGATAGTGTTAAATATTGTAAAAGGCGATATGAATGACCAAGCACACCTGATTCTCGATTATCTCTCGACTCCACCGCTGGTCAGTCCATGCTGAGGTCTCCTCCAAATCTATGTACTCTCCCACCTGGAGGTCCGAGTGAGTCCTGACTGCAGCTGCTTGCTGAACTACAGACAAAGCTGGACAATGTAGAGCAGAGGTACAGTAAAAATGCAAGTAAAATCACTCTATGTATCAAGCGATGCCAGGAAACTGTGTTTTGCTGGTACCTGTGTTCACCAGAAAAACAGTCCTCTTCGCATTTTCTTGGAAATGTCCACGGATTTGGTGGGAGAGTTCTTTTGTTAGAAGTACTGCAATAAAGGTCTTCCCTGAGCCAGTATTCAAGCAGACGATAGTATTATGTTCAAGAGCTGCTTCAAGAAGTTCTACCTGTGGAGGAAGGTGATGTGATGATGGGAAAAAAATAGCAATTAATTGCTCTTAATTTGTGATTTTATTTTCTGCCCGGTTCATGCCATAGCCTGTAGGTTATATACATCAAGCAGCTAGTAGTCACATCCATGCGTTACCTGATATTTCCTAGGTGTATAGATGTTATCATGGATAGCCTCCTGCTGCCATGGCAGACCAAAGAAAGGCCCCATGGGTGAAGTGGCAGGAGTGACAAGCTGTAGGCCTGCCATGCTTCAGAAAGGGGGAGGTGAAGGGGCTGGGCTCCTCCAGTCGTCCACTTTATCTCATTTCATCCTCCTCTTCTGTCAAAAGTTCACTGCCAGGAGACAGGAGGATGTGTATTAATGTACTGTAGACAGCAGATACAACAGTTGTCTCACTCTCCATTGAGAAAGGTGAAAAACTACATCAGCAAAGGCAGGGCTGCCAGTCAGCAGCAGGTCTACCACTGCCACAGTGTTTCTGGCACAGATAATTGATTACTAGAGACAATGTCTGGAACACTGTTGTTCAGCTAGTCTGGGGCACAATGGACTTGCAAAACATTTAGAGGAGGATCTAGAAATGGAATATTCACCTAGGTATGTTTATTATTAGCTGTATAATCACCTGAATATAGGAATCGTTAGGTTTTTGTTGCCTTAATATGAGGTGTTTTTATATACTAATGCTATTAGTCACTAATATTACGTGAACTACGTGTTAGGCGAAATACGGTAGGTACTATGCAGGGAAATTGTTACCTTTGAAATTATGGATATGGCCAATTGGCACGGGATTAAGATCAAAAATAACCACTGCAATTATTAAACATTATGGGATGTCCCAAGGTAACACTAGTCCAGTGCAAACAGGACTGAGGACACTGTAAGTGAATATATACATTGCTATATCATAGCTAGTTTGTGGTGGTAATAACATCCACATGGGTTTGTTTAATCACACGCATGGGTTTGTGTGTTTTATGTCCCAGGGGGTTACCATGTGTGACCTGAGCTCACCAAACCAAATTCCTACCAAACCTGTTGAAATGGCAAAGTATTGACTACTGAATGTAGCTTATTTAGAGCTTGTTTAGAACATGACCGCAGCCTGGTTAGAGCTTGATAACAGCATGTTCAGTGATTGGGAACAGCTTGCTCGGAGCTTTCTTAGAGCTCGCTGAAACATCTCATTTGGGGACTGAAAATAGTTTGTTCACAGCTTGAGACCAAAAGTGCTAAATAGGAAGATTACTTGGAGAATAGGCCGGAATCATTGGCATAGAATCACACAGCTAGATTTGACAGCTGTCCAAAAGTGAAGTCAAAACATTTCCATCTCCTCCTGGTGGCTGACTGCAGTATACAGCCCACTGCCTCTGTTAGTACACGTCAAATACATTTTTCCCAAAGATAGTTTCTGTCATTAAGGTAGTTTTAATCACACTGACGTATGTTCAAGTGTTTATTTTTATCATCAGCAGTTATTTGAAGCTATAAAAGAGGGTTTCACATTGGGTGTACGGGTGGGACTTCGATACAGTGGTGCCAACCCCGATCACTACTGCTGGGCTGGAATGATGCTCACAGAATGAATGTCTTTTGAAACATACTCACAGGTAAAAACTGAGACTTTCTGGATAAGCAGACAACACTTAATCTGGGCTTCATGATACAATATCTCTTAATCAACTCCTGATGCTCCCCTTCATTTAGGTGGAAACAGACCTAAAAGAAACAAAAACAGAGAACATGTTATAATCATGCATTTCAGACACTGACATATAGAACTCTATATGAGTGCAATAAATGACAATGAAAAAGTTGTTTTATTCACTACAAATATAAAACAGAGGTAGCATTCAAGTTAGTTTGGCTTCCACAGAGACTGCATCTGTTCCTCATGTGCTGGTTATCATTCTGTGATAGTACTGTTACACTCACAAGTAAATCCTCTCACCTCTACCCAAATGGAGAGTGACAGGGATTGTGTCTAGGTCCTCCAGCTCTGCAAAAACAAAGGCAGAAAGCAAAATGAGAATCATAAGGGTGCCAGATGCTGACCAAGGTATACTGAGCACCTCAAGCTTTTCAACACATGACGCTACTGTGAAGACTGTCGATCCCCACATCTGTAACCAATATCAGCAGTCAGCTTAGCGGAGCAGACACAAGTCTTTATGTTGATTGAGCCGCTCACATTTAAAATCATAACAACTATGGAGCTTCATTCATGCAATTCCTTAAATCTGACGTGGAGATGTGTCTGTGCCAAAAACAAAGTGCAAACTGCAAACCACAACAGAACCACACTGGTGACTCAAACACTGGCAAAATGTCAAATGTATATGATGTGTTTATACAAACCTGTGGAACTCTTGATCATCTATTGTAGATATTTGTTTTTCTATGTGTGCGTTTTGAATTATTTTTGACTCCAGACAGATAGGTCACCTGATGGTGTTGTTGTTCCATATAATAACAATATATGACTCCTGGTCCAGTGGCATCCCCGGTGGAATGAGTTACTGTGAACCTTAATGACTGGACACGCATCTAGACCACATCATTAGTTGTATAAAAGGCCTACACACACCAGCAGCGCACAACAGTGTAAAATCACCCACACCTTGTTGTCTTTGTAGGCCGCGCAGCAGGCGGCACCCACAGGTGTCATCACAGCTCGAGCTGTGGCACCATGTCAAGACACAACCTATTTCCAATTGTCAACTATTTGAACACATTTGCTCCCCGGATAGCCAAAGGATTTTTAAGAAGAATTAATCAAAGCACAATAGCCTTCCTGTGCTTTGATTTCTTCTTAAAAACTTCAACTGCAGCACCAATACCACAAGATATAGACTCACAAATAGACAGGATATCCATTTAGGCTCTTTTTAAATCCTGTTTTCTGTACAAGCCGAGTGGCTTTTTTTCCCCTCTGCAGCCTCACACTATAAAGAAAATTATCAAATCACCCACATTAGATAGATAGATAACTTTATTAATCCCACAATGGGGAAATCTACTTGTCACGAACATTTGGGAGAAAATAAATTAGGCTTACAGATATAAAAACAGGAACATTTGGGCATACAGCAGGTCCAAAGGTCTTATTGTCTACTGGTGGTGCATGTGACAAACTGGTGGAGAGTCAGCATATGCCAGAGAAATATGCTATATTACAATAGAACATGAGTAACATAACAGCAAACAACAGGGACATACCATTCAAATGAAACACATAATTTCTCACCAATATCCTCACAGTATTCTATTTCTGGAGATGCTTCATCAAACTGATCTGTGCAACAATTGGTGAATATAGTAAATATAACCCAGCACTCACATGGTGTCAGAATAATAGAGTTCCCAACTGGGAAGATTTATGTCACCGCTCCCTCAAATATGAAAGTCAGCAAATATTTTAGTACATGACTTGCCATTATATTACACTGAAACATGGCGGACAAAATAAAATGTTCATTCATTCATTCATCACATTTTGCTCACATGTAATTTGTAGTGTGATATTCAGTCGCAAATGTTAGTTACTGCCCACGTCGAGTGACCTAGATTAGTTACAAAGTCACTTATTATAAAGCAATATCTTATAGTGAATGTACCGGTGCACCAACAAGTCTGAGACAAACTCACCAACATAAAGCATCAAGCTCTTTCACAATAATTCAGCAACAATGAATGTTCTGTGATTAAATCCTGCAGTGGGCAACTTTTTTTAACCACTATTCACTGAAACCTTCAATATATCCTGACAGTAATACATGAGTACACAAAGATCATCTGTGAAACAATCAGGTTCCTCTGGCTCCTCCTAGTGCTGCTAAACAACAAATCAGAGTCAAGAAAGATAGCTGATTGTTGAGTGTCATTCCCAGGTCATCCAATATCAATGCTGGGAATGAGATTCAACTATCTTCTAGTCACTAACCCAACGTGTCTTTCTACCTTTCTTGGCTCTGGTTGGTTGTTTTTGTAACTAAAAGTTATTTTTATAAAAGTTACCTACTGCAGCTTTAAAGCTCATGAACACACCAAAGCTGGAAGAACATGTTCCCAATCTGAACTCTGGAAACTGGACTATCCGAGGAGCATGTGAAAGCACCAACTATGAATATAACTACATTCACACCTCTTGAAAGCCTGCACAACAAGACATACTTTCTGTGTTCACATATTTAGACCTTAACACTAAAACATACTGCAACTGTTAATGTGACTGTACTGGACACTGTTTTAGGTCATGCAAGAAGAGTTACAGACACACAGTAGGTCCTAAGTACAGACTGCCAGGGAAACAACATGGAAAAAGGACTATTTCAAAAAATGACAAATTAAACAGAAATTGTGTTGATCTGAGAGGGGCTTCAGTAACCTTCATCCCAACATCAACGTTAAATTACTCAATCTTTCACACTTGTGAGCTTGTACATGCCACAGTTCTGCAAAAAAGGTCTCTGTCAGCTATGCCAAGCATACATGTAGAACACAATGTTCAGAACAATAGCCGGAAAAACTCATAATTGTCATTAACTCTTTAAACCAATATATTGTGACATTCATTTGTACTCGGTAACGTTATAACCTACGTAACACACAGTCACCTGTCATTGTTAGCTTCCTCTGTCAGTGTGAGCACTAGCTCATGGGTAACAGTTAGTTGAACGCTTGGCCATAAAGTTAGTTACTGCTCACAGAGACCATGCTGAGGAACATTCGCTAGCTAGTTAGCAACAAACGTTAAGCAGCTCCATTTCTGCTGAGCATTTATAGAAAAGTAACGACACCAACATAATATTCAAGTTTAAGTTACTGCTCGCAGAGACCATGCTGAGGAACATAGGCTAGCTAGTTAGCAACTAAGCAGTCGCATTTTTGTCGAGCATTTATAGAAAAGTAACGTTAGCTAATACACATAACTAACAATGAAGCTATTTGATTGAAATATTTAGAGGTGACGGCTTTCAATAATTTGGCCACTAAAGAGCAACAGAGCCTCTCAAGGTCCTTGGCCTCGGTATTGGTGGCAAAGTATGAACCGTGACCGTTAGCTTACATAGACATGCTACTGGGTGCTGACAGTGACAATCAGACAGTTAACGTTGCGTTCGCTTCGCTGATAGTGTGCTGTAAAGTGTGCTGATAGTGTGCTGTAAAGATGTCTCAGACAGCCGATTAGCCGCGTACACAGCGGTACCGACCGGGCAATCAAACCTTCTTGCTGCGTTAACGTAACCTAGCATGGCTAGCGAATGTTAGCTAAACCATACGGATTGCGCCTGTCTGCAAGCACTTATTGACGTGGTTATTTTAATGGCCAGAGACGGTGTGATTTATAGAGTGTGACTAGAACATGGCTTTACCCAAACTGTACAGCGTGTAATGCAACACAACGTCGGACAGAACAGCAGCCACCATGCACCATCACCATGTCAGCCAGCCTGCTAGCCTGCTAACAGCTAGCTAGGCCAACACATGCAAAACAGCAACGTTAATCCAGAAAGACAAATCCCACAGTTCGGTACATCATCTCACCTGGTGTGTGTTTTTCAAATGATGGTCTTGGCTAAAAATGCTTGAATTCTTTTGTTGGATATCCTATCTGCCATTCACTCTTGCTGTCTCGATTTGGTGGCCACTCGTTCACGGTGGGACCACTTCCTTTCACCTGGGCCTCTGCTACGTCAAAACATTGGACGTAAACTGCGTAAACTGCGTAAACTGCCGACCGTACTCTGGCGAGACACCCCTCTCCCCAGGATGGCGAAGTCATGACCAACCCTACTCCGCCTTTGATTGGCTTATCCGACACTGTTACCCTATCTCTAACCAATCTCACGCATCATGCCTAAACGCAAACCAAAGAAAAACGAGTACTAGCCAATCCGAGGGAGGATATGGTGGGCATCAATTCGCCACCCTGGAGGGGGGGTACGTCCTTCCTACGTAACGTGCGTAAAGTGTGGAGGTCTGTAGCTCAATTCAATTATATTCAAAGGGGCTTTATTGGGGAACAGTGTAAAACATAGACTATGTATATAAAGATAATTATGTAGTAAGTAAGTCATTATGATAATAATAATTATAATACCGATGTATTTTCTTATTCATTTTTATTGGTTAAATTTAGCAGGGACAGTTCACACTAATAAAACATTTCTGTAAAGAGACTATTTTTCATTTGTTTCTGGACAGATGGTACAAAGTCAACCTAAAAACAGAATATAAGATTAAAATGACAAAGCCATTCAAAGTTAATCATCTATAAGCATGCAATAAAAATATTAATTGCTTATTCAACTCCCTTAGGCTATATTTCACATGAATTAAAAAAACATGCAACGCAGAGGTTCATAATACAAGAGCAAAAACCATAAAATGACAGGTATTGGGAGTAATATGGACTATATAAAACAATACTGTTGAATTGTTAGACACTAACTGAAACATGCAAAGCAGAAACACAGACATATAAACATGCACAGTGTACATCAATCTAACAGAATAAAAAACAAAATCACAATAAAAGACATGCATGCAGGTCCATGAGGGCAGACTGGTGATAAGATTAGTGTCAGCCGACAGCAGGCAGACTGAGGACATCAATATTCAATGGTTTTGGTGCTGACAGGGCTGAGTACTAATGAACCATTTCTTTAAACAAACTTTAAATGTGCCATATTTGTCCAGTCTCTGACAGTGGCTGGGATATACACAGTTTATATATACAGTTCATAATGTAGTTTATCTTTATGGATTATACTGATGCTGAATTGACAAGAATACTGTTAACAAATAATGGCCTTGAAATGTTAGGAATTATTCAAATGTGATATTTCTTAAAGGGAGTTTGGTGCAGGGAGCTTTTGGTTGAAATCAAATCGATAATATGTATATTTTGTAACGTTTTGTCTCCACTACAGAAACACGAGGTAACTATTTAAGTATGATAATTCTGTCTGACGTTGACTGCGATTAGTCATTAGTTTGATTAATGCTTTAATGATGATTTGATTACTGACACTGGCTGATCAGGCTAATTATCAGCTTATTTTACTTTCTAACAGCAGTTTGCTGTAATGGTTACTCTTTTTGTGTGTGTGTTTTGTGTGTAAATTAAACATAATTTGCTGTTATCAATGCTATTATTAATGATTAGTTTGCAGAGCAGACAGACTCTGGGATTCCTCCTTGTGAAAGATCCTGTATTGTGTGACTCCCATTGCCCATCAGTCATAGTGTGACAACGACAATGAAAGTCTTGTAGTGTGACCAAGGCTTACGACATATTCAGACAGTTGTCTTCCTAAATGAATTCAGCCCTAGTAAAGTCATTGACTGCGTTACATGATGTCCTCCAGATGGCAGCATTACTACTCACAGGCATAGCATGTCCTGATGGAAGGTTGATGTTCAGTTAGTAAGCCAAGCAAGTGGATTAAATACCTTGTGAAACCTGTATAGTTGTCTTACAGCTCTACAACTTTCCTTCTCAAACAACTCATATTAAGCTCAATCATAAGAAATCCTTCCGCCTCTCCTTTCCTACAAAGGCCTGCAGAAAAGACAGAACTATAACATATCTGCAGGTTTCAGAGAGGCAAAGCCAAAACTCTAAGATCTATTTAACACCTGGAACTGGATTTAAGGCCAATTTAACATCACAAACTGCACTTTTTATGACTGAATAAAATTAAATAAAATAAAAAAAAAGATTTATAACATATTTAAAAAATGGAAATGAATGTCATGATCTGTTATGGTCACATAACATTTTGTTAGTGATAGGTTTAAAGCTTCAGAAGGTAACTTTATAAAAAAATTACTTAAGTACTTACTTAAGTCATATTTTTTTAAACTTTCACTATTGGTTGTTTTCATTCAGGCCTGATGGATTCCTACATATGCCATTAGGAGCACTGGGAGGAGCCAGAGGAACCTGATTTGTTCACACATTATCTGTCTCATGCACTACTGTCAGGATATTGTGAAAGTTTCAGTGAATATGAAAGAAAGTTATTTTTAGAAACATTACCTGCAGCATTAAACAGAGTGCTTCATGTTACAAACTTGTGGGGGGGTGTTTAAAAAAAACCTTAATAACACGGTGAAAACTTAAAACTGCATTTATTCATTTTAAGCTTTATATTTAAACAACTTTCAAACTTTTCACAGACATTTGAAGGATGTACCAATACCCTAAGCAGTGAAAACAAAGCACAAAAAGAATACAAAGGGTTTAAAACATGTCATTTATTGCACTTGCTGCTGAAACAATTAGAACAATTGAGGTTCCAATACAAAAGCCAGTATCTTTTTTTACTAGGTCAGTCCTTTCAGTGTTTTGGTGGTGTTGGTGGGTGGGGGTGGCTGGTATGGTCCTGTGGCCATGGTCACTGGAGACACAAACACACACACACACACACACACACACACACACAGTCTACTGTATCATTGTAAAGACCTTAAATTGCCATCCCTTTTTCCTTAACTCTTATCCCAGACTCTGGAGGACTACCATTGCATTTTTTGGGACCAGCTGGTGACCTTACACAGTGTATCTTTGGACAATTGGGACTAAAATAATCTGTGCATGAAAACACTTTGGCATACAGTATGTGAAGTAAGTGTGGCTAGCATTATCCAGAGTATGAAGAGATACATTTTTGCAACTGGTGCAAACCAGTAATTTCCCAATCCTTGAAACAACCCTGGAAAGTGAAGTCATGCTATGAACATTAACTCATTTTATACTCACATTTAGAACTCACATGTGTTTTTTTTTCAACAAGAAACTTAAAACTTCCAGAATCTCTGAATATGCAAAAGTCCCTGTTCCTCCTGGACACAAGATGTCTCCTACCTCACTTAGTAAATTTTTTTTGCAATTCTCAAGTTTCCTTCCCTCCCTGGCTCCTCCCTAGTGGTCTCCTGTTCTGATTGGTGGATTCTGCAAATGCCATTAGGAGGCCACTATGGAGGAGGACCCGAAGTGAACCTTGATTTTTTCCACCTGTCCTCAATGTGCAATTAGCTTGTCGTTTGATGTGATATTCATGTTGCCGATGACAAAAATGATAAAAAGTATACAAATTTTCATAATATAACCTCCTTTTAACTACCATGCAAAGCTTTAAGGCCTTGCCCTAAACGCCATTCACAAGTTTATAATGATGATTCATTGCTAAAATTATATAAATCTATGTAATAATAATCTTTACTACAAAATAATACTCTTAACAACAGTTACCCATTTTCAACCTCGCTCACCTCTAATAGTATTGTACAATTCCTAATCAGTTAATCCGGCATAACGTCAATAATTGTAAAGACCATTGAAGGGAGTCATTATTCTTCTGGTTTGTTTACTGGGATCTCAGAATGATTATGTCATCTTCATGGAATAATTGCACTTTGATCTTGACAAAATGAGGTCTGACAGAAATATTTTATGGTCTCCGGTTTGTTTTGTTACCATCCAAATGATTACCTTTTTGTTTTTCTGACATTTATAGATTCAAAATCACCACTTACAACAGACATTAGCAGGTGCAGATACAACCTAAAAAAGTTTTATTTATATTTTAAAGTAACATCTAATACTAAATGAAATCTTATCTGATCACCGATCACTTTTCCGGAAATTCGACCAATCATAGCAGTGCCAAAACGTTGAGCTCAACATCACCAAATTATCAGCGATTTTATTCTCACTGAAACAACTTGCCTTTGATTTTTATTGAATGAATGAATTAAACTATTTTTTAAATTTTCACTTTCTCACACAATTTCATTGCAAAACAATACCTTAAACAGTGTTTCTCAAACTTGTTTTCATTAACGTTGACTTTTAAATATTTCTTCAAACCTCTGACCAACGCAAAACATTTTGGTAGAAAAGAAAGAGGTAAAATACAACGCTGCAGAGTAAGTGTCTAATTTATTAAGAAAAAACAATTAAATGCTTAATTTCAAATGTTTTGAATCCATCACTGAATAAACCTTCCACCATGATTTTGTGAGTTGCACAACCAATTTAGTGAGAAACCTGAGTTTGTGTTTCACTGAGGATCTTTGTCATTCATGGTGACAGGGAGGCAACTGCAGCTGACAGTTTACGTTCGCAATGGCACTGAAAATAGGAATATTGGATATGAAATGTGGTTTATCAAACTTACATTTACATTTTCTATTGAACTTATAGTATAATTATTTCAGGAATCATGAATGAAAGATATTTTTTAAATAAACATTTAGAAAAAAAAACTTCAGATACCCCCTTTAGTACTCCAAAATACCCCTAGGGGTGCACGTAAACCCATTTGAGAGACACTGGCCTAAAAGGATAACAACATGCATCACAATTTTTTAGAAAAGCTAGCGTGAAATTGAGATTTTAGGCTGCAATAATCCCTAAAAAAGCCTGCACAATCTTGGAGGGAGTGGTTAATGGTCATGACTTTGCTTTATGACAAATCAGAAAATAATGCTATAATAATCTCATGGATTTTCTGACAACCCTAAATGCAAATCCTAAAACTAAACAAGTCCATAAAGTGAAGCTGCAGTGAGGACTGTAAAGCTGAGCTCTGTCCCATTTCCATACTAAACAGCAATTCTAGGACAGTTCTGAGTATATTCAAAAAAGTCAACATGCAAACAAAATCCACTTGATTTTTGCAAGTCTGCTTCTTAGAAATTATTATACTCATTTGTGAACACAAATACATTTTGAAATGTGACGCGAGTCAAATAACTTTTTTTTTTTTTTTTTAATTACCATGATGGAGAACTATTTCCATGAACAGATCTGAAATGTTGCAAAATGTTTATAATGAAAATATAAGCAAAACCATGTCTATCAGTATATTTAATTTGTTTTACTACTCTATATGCAGTGGTGGAAAGTACATTTACAAAAGTACTGTGCATATGTACAAATTTAAGGTACTTTACTTCCCATTTCCTCTATTTTTTGAAAATGTATACTTCTACTCCACAACATTGCTGTGGTTTCTAGTTTAAAAAAGCAGCATATAATAAACAAAAAATGTGATAAAAATGACAGCAAGTACTGCAGTTGATGCTGTCATGTTTCAGATCAGTTGTTAGTATGTCCAAAGAGACATTTCCTCTGCAATGTCTCACAGCGATTCATTTAAATAACTTTTTGAGGTCCACAAAGTAAAAATGACCTAATAAAGATAAATATAAAAATATACAAATTTCTGTCTAGAACCGAATGCTGCATTAATGCAACAGTCACCATAATGTCATATAAAATATAACCGGAGCCAGGATAACCGGAATGCAGGACTTTTACTCGACCTTTACCTGAGAACTTCCACCAATGACTATATCTGCTTGAGGCAACTAAAGCATGATTCGTATTTTTATGGTTCTCTTTAACTCAAGGAACTCTATTAAAGTTGTAGGAAGATGGCGGCTGCCCTGAAAGCCCTTTTTTGAATGTACAACAGTTGGCTTGTGGTAATAATTAACTGGAATTATGCAATGGAAATGCTCAGGAAATAGCTAGAAACAGAACCTTGAGGCGGGTTTTCCTCTTCAGCCTAACTTTCACTAAGTTTCCATCTTAAAAAGCAAGTATTAAATCTTATTAAAGTATAATGTTTATTAAGCATACATATTCTTCTTGTAGTAACTGGTAAAACACTATACCATGACAATAAGCATGATGCAGTTAGTAAATAGTATGGAATTGGGACACAGCTCTAGTTCTCACAAGGATAAAAGTACAAAAACATGTCCACACACACACTTGAGATGTGGTTATGATGCACTACACTGCAGGGTTGACCCAGTTGGAAATGGACTGGAATGAATGGCTTTTTTGCTGCCCCTCAGTCAGTGGATGGAGGAGCGGTGTTCATATTTAGGTCGGCTGGTGTGAGGAATGATCAAACTAAGGACTTGCTTCACTACAGACATGGTTAAAAAAATAACACAGAAAGATCTTTCATTGTAAAGCATTCTCTTTCCGTTGACAGGTTTGGACAGGCTCAAGCATAGCTCAGTCACATAAAACATTTCTTCGTCATAAAACTTTTTAAAAATCCATTCACACATCTTATGAGCCATAAAATATTACAAATACACATTCTGCTTGAACTATTATACAATATAGAGCTGGGTGCTTTCGTACAAGAGACTTTCTAAATGTTAAAAACAGGATTTCCATTATTGGGTGAGTTGTGTACTTTCTGTATCAGCACTTTCCATGCAATCTTTGGCAGTTTGTATTCTTTTTCTATTCTTTTCTCAAAAGTGCAACAAATCCAAAATACCCTTTCATTCAGACTGATTAGTTCTCTTTACAACAGTACGTACGCTCAGAAAGCCTGGCTTCATCATATATATTCTTGTTTTCGTTTCCTTTTAAGCTCCACTATCTCCAGTTTTTACTATCTTAAGCAGTTTCACCTTTAACATCTTCCAGGGTTAAATGGCTTTTTAGAACTGTGCATCCATACATCTTTAGTATATATCTCTATCTACAAAGCAGAGCGTGCTGTACAGTCATGTAGTCTTACAGGGTCAGCTCTGTCGGCTTTGCACAGCAATAAACCACAAACTTGTATAGTGTCTTTAAAACAGAAGCACATCTGCAGCGGGGCGTCAGGGCCACTGCACAGAGGTTTAAAGAATAAATTTGGAATATTTTGAGAGAAATGGCAATGTTATGAGACCGAAGTTGTAATTTTTCTTCTTTTTCTTCTTTTTCTTCTATGTTACACACATACGTCATAATTAAATAGTCAACATTTGGAGAATAAAGTGGCAAACCTTACAAGAAAAAGGCTTAATATTAAGAGATTGCATTGTAATTAAAATCTGACTTATATTATTTCATAATATTTCTTATTGTGAAATAATGAGAAATATTATGACATTTTCTCAAAATTACAAATTATTTTCTACGACTCAAAATATAATTAGGAATTATTATTTTAAAACAAAAAGTCAATGTTATGAGAATATGTCCTTTTTTGCATCATGAAGGTATGAATAATTTTGAGAAAAAGTCATACTATTATAAGAAATATTGTAACATGACTTTCTTTTCTCTAAATAATATAACCTTTCCTAATAAAGTAAGACCTAATTTGAAATATTATGAGTTTAGTCTTTAGTCTTAAAATATTACTTTTTTATCAAAAACTTTATTCTTGACATATAATGACCTATTCCTGTAAAAGCACAACTTTATTTTGTTACATTACTTTTCTCTTGTAAAATTATTACATTATTTTCCTAACATTATTTTTCTCAAAATATTAAAATGTACATTTTATACTGCTATGACTTATTCCTTGCAAAATTACAATTTTATTCCCATAAAATTATTTTGACTTGATTTTAACAACATCATGACTTTTTAAATCTCAGACCTAGTTTTCCCCAGCAGTGGCCCTAACACATTGTCATACAGAATACTTCAAACCACATCAAAAGCTAAAAAGCAAAAACCTAAAAGTCTAATCTAATCTGGAGTACAGTCAGTGGAATGGAAAGGAACGAGGAGTGGCAGTTGAGCTGTATGTGTGTGTTTTTTTAGTGATGGTGCATTAAAGTTTATATATTTGTTAAAATTCTCTTTTGTCCTGTAACTCTGTGCGTGTGTGTGTCCTTCAGTGGTTGAGGTTCAGCAGCAGGCTGGGCAGTGTCTTCAGGTCCATCTGTGGCAGCAGCCAGAAACAGTAGAGCAGCAGCCACAGCAGCAGTAGCAGATACAGCTCCCAGTTCTCACCACGCCTGCACACGCATGCACGCACACGCACACGCAGGCACACACACACACAAACACACACACACACGCACACAGGAGAGGTCAGAATAAGGTCAGCAGAGACACAAAACATAAAGAGATAATGACTGCAGCTACCAGAGTACGGATCGATTCTTACAAACAGTTAAACATTCATGATACCTTTATTTTGGGTTTTCTCATGTGCTGTGTCCTAATTCTAGGGGCCAGCCCTGGGTTGCACCAGTTATAATCTGAAGTTGACACTAGGGGCTTAGTAACTGATAGTGAGTTAATAACGAAACTGGCTACTTAAATGGGTTGCACCCCGATTACTTTTTGATAGATATTGCGATTGCATTATTAAGATTGGTGGGAATTTTAATTAATTGCGTTTCTTTTGTCACAATTTACATTTTCACTAAAACTATTAAAACCATGATGATGGGACTTTAGTTGGGGTGTGTACCAAACCAACATGTTTTCTTACATCTGGAGATTTGTAGGCTAGGGTATCTGTGCAGCACTACAGTACTTCATTATAACTCATGTTACTTTTATAAAAAAATTGCATTGGCCATACTGTGATTTTGATATTTCAATTAAAGTTGCAGTGGGTAACTTTTATGAAAATAACTTTTTGTCACATTTGCTGAAACTTTCACTATATCCTGACAGTAGAACATAAGACAAAATCATGTTCCTCTGGTTCCTCCTAGTGCTTCTAATGGCATTTGGAAGAATCCACTGGACCTTAACAAAAACAACCAATCAGAGCCAAGAAAGATCATTTGTTGTCAACTATCTTCAAGACACCAACCCAAAGCATCTTTCTATCTTTCTTGGCTCTGATTGGTTGTTTTTGTCAAGCCACGGTGGATTCTAGCAAAATATGTTCAGTATCTGTTAATGAGACTAGTATTCCAACAGTAGAAGATGACTACTAGTCCACCACCGGTTTGGAAATACTTGCAACCAGTAAAAACTTGCTGCTGTGAAAGGCCTATACAGTATACAGAACTAAAGCAAGGAGGGACAAGTTCTTACCAAAAATCAGAGTCCCCGTTGTCATCTTTTCTGGCCGCTGCAGTCTGGGCTGTCCGATTGTCCTGTGAGTAAGAACAAACACTCAGTGTACAGCTTCAGACAGAATACTTATCCAAAGGTAATAATATGTCCATAGACATGGAAGTGGAGTGTCAAACCAACCTTGGACTCAGTGAAGCGAAGCCCCTTTCTGTGACGGAGAACTGGAGGGTTCTGGCTTTCATCGCATCCACTGTAACTTTTAGTGTCACTCCTGAAAAGACAGAATCCATTAGTTTAGTGAGAGCAGGCCCAGGAAATATAAAACGAAAAGCCATTGTGAATACCTTGAGACAAAAGAATGAGAGTATGAAACCAGAACTAAAAAGCTACTTTCTGTGACTTTATTCCCTGTCCCCTTCACTACAACTCCTAACTCCAGGCCTCTTTCCTGTTTAAAGTTTAAGGGCTCTATCTTGCACTCA